TCTGTCATTGAGCAACAGACACTGACAACAGAGACAAGAAACTACTTAAAAAAAGAGAGGACATTAAGATATATGACACTGTATGCATTGTATTTAGAGAAAGTATTTTTAAAGTACCAGTAATAAAAGCTTTTATTTACATTTTTAAATGTAAATGGTGTTATGTAATAGTTTATGTATACTGTTATGTATAACACCACATAACTTGCATTTTTAAATGTAAATAAAAGCTTTTGTTGCTGGTACTTGAAAAATGTCTTACGGCAGAAGAATCAAAATATATACCCTAGTCATCTGAAAAATTAATTGCTTGTTCAATTAAAAGTGGTAGATTTTTAATAGTATACACAACAAGCAATAGCAATCACTATTTTAACCCAGCTAGCATTAACTGCATTACCAGTTAATTGCATCACCAGTTTCTAGCTATTTGCTAAAAGGTACACTGCTATCATCATCATATTTAGAGCCAAGTTTCCCTCTAAGACAGTATTCAGAGTATTAAATTTAGTTAGTAAATAGGAACAAATGTTTCAGAGACTTCAAGTGCAAGTTTTATATTTACTGATTTGCCAAAGCTTTAAATTTGGCACTTCTATTAACAACAACGTTTACCATTTAAAAATCTCACTACTGACAGATTTCTGAGACTTGTATTCAGCAGCTGTTCAGTTCAGGTATGGGATGCTATGAGCTGGTTGCTTGGTTTAACTACCACTTTCTTGCAAATCTTTAGGATGTGAAAGATTCTTGTCATTTAAATAGGTCTAACATTTATACACAGCTGGGACTTTTGAATATTTATTAGTTTTTATATCTACAACTCCAGTTATAAACTACTCAGTGAATGTAGCAATGGATTTTTAAAATACCAACAATAAAAATACTTTTCAATACAGTCATACCTAAGACTTTTTGGAAATGACACTTTATTTACATTTTAAAATGCAGGTGATGTATAATAGTTTAGGCCTCAAAATACTCCTTAATTACCTAGAAAGACTGTCAAACTATTCAGGGATTCTGAGAACTGTTTAAGAGAATTGCAGTGGTTTAAAAAGAAAAACAACAACGATTAACACTCTCCTAAAAATTCAAATCAAAGTTTACTGTGACCAATCTGCTACTTTTAAAAATGATTGCCAAGACTTTCACTCGACTAGCTGGGAGCAGAATTGGTCCTTTTACACTCTGTGAAAGAGATTCAGAATTATTTTACAGAAGCTCTAGCTAAAAAATTCAGCTGAGCTTTCAAAAAGAACATTCCTCTGACTATTTTAAAGAAATTACATTCTGCACTTTTTTAATTTCACCACACTTAATCAAGTACTCTGATATGGAAGTAGTTTAAAAGGTAAATATTTTAAAATAAGTGCTTTTGATATTTTGTGATAGAAAGCGTTCATTTTCTGACACCCAAGGCCCATATATTTTCATTGCTCTCCCCTTACTTTAAATCTGTTACTTTTATTGGTATTCACTGTGCATATGATAAGGTTTTCTACACAATTAAGACAGAGGACCAATTTTAACCAGTAATAATAGGTAAATACAGATGTGAAATTATATTAACGGATTTTAAAACATACTTCTAACATGCTGCACTTAAGAAAATGTTTATGAGTGAAAACCCCACCTTACCTAAAAATAATCTTGAAAACTTAGCTAACATTCCACTTCACTATTACTGAGCACTGGACAATCTCATAGATGCTCAAATCTTTATTGTATCCCTAACTGCAAAGAGCTTATTTTTACTCCTCTACTAAATTTACTCTTCTGAAGACCTGCAACTTGCCACTTTACCTCTGTTTTTCATTTCCTCTCTCTTTTCTTTATATTCATACCTTTGTTTCTGGTTCTTCTTTTTTCTTACTATACCAGTCTATTTTGTCATCTTTTCTCATTTGATACTTGCTTTCAGTTGGCAGCATGTGAAACCCACAGCAGACGGCCCATATAGTTAGGTCGGAGAATGTAAAGTAATTCTTGTTATAAAAGACAGTTACCATCTGGAAAGGGACAGAGGGGGGCTTTAACCCACTAGAGAAAGCCTGCCCAATAAAACTCAGACTTCATAGCCAGTAATTACAACTTCTTATACACCGAAATTGTTGTCTTGGAAACTTTCCAAATTTTTCTCTGCTTGTTTGTTTAATGCAGTCTAGAGAAAAAGAATCAATTTAAGTAGCCTTCTATAATTTAGTGCATTTCAAGAGTCTTTGGAATTCTAATGATTTAAATTAAGTCTTCTTTCAAGAAACTATCTTTCCACCTACAAAATAGTACTTAAAATGTGTGTATACACACATGCACTCACACTCTCTCCAAAAAATAACTGTAAAAATTGTAAAAAGTGTTTGATTCAATTCCATTTAAGGTACTCTCTTAGGAGTTTAAGATGCAGTTTCATTTGGCCCAAGTGCAGACTTCTCCCTTCCCTAATATAAATTTTTTATCAACATGAGACTCTCAGCAGTCTAAACAATTTAAAGACAAAACTAGTCTTAATTTTTTTTAATTCCTTCATTATAATTTATAAAGGTGAAGAATAGTTTTTTTACAGGCTATATACAATTTTTTAAAATAATCAACACATAGTTTGTGAATTCATATCCAGGATGCTTCTATCGTTTTAAGACACCACATTTTAATAGTTCATTTTTATGTTCCAGGTACAGTACACTAGCCATGCTGAATGCTCCACACATACCCTAGTATTGCGCTGGTATTAATGGCATATTAATAACTGACAGCACAGGAGATGTGATTGCTGTTCAAGACAAAGGTTTCACAATTTAACATATATACACACACACCTGAAGTATCTGCCATGTTGTATTAAGATCAAGTTACTTTTTCCACTTCAAATTCCTTGGTTTTCTGAAGAGTTGAGATATGTCAGTTGTGTGCACCATTGCAAAAATAACCCATTTTTAGTAGTAACACATTTTACAGGAACATAGGAGATTTAAGTGTTTTGGTCAAGTACAATAGAAAAGAACCAATTCATACAGAGCTCCAAACCCCTTCAAAATCAAGAGAAAGACTCCCACGGAGTTCAATGGGCTTTGGATTATGCTTTTAAACTAGTGGATCAACAAGAATTATTATTTTCTTAGGGTGATGATCCTTTGTTTATAAACTCTAAGACTTAAGGTGAATGACTGCAGTAAATACTGAGCCCAATGGGAGAATGAGATGCAGTCCTTTTTCACTGTATCTTGTGGATGCAAATTACTCAATGAATTCAAAAAAACCCATGTACCAGAAAGCTTGAAATTACATTTCAAAAATGTCAAGACACAAAGAAGTGAAAGATAATGTTTCAGTATCAACTTTGTACATACCAGCTATGAAAGCTGTCCAAGTTCATGTAGAAATGAAAGGCTTAACTGAATTGGAAACATGACGTGTGATTATTATTTTACACATGCTGAGACGTTCCAATGTCTCTCGAAGACAGCCTGGTGGACACATCAGTAAACATTTCAAAATTATCTACCAATCCAATCCTGACTAATATCTTCATTTACTTTCTCAAGAAGCCAACACTCTGACCTGGTCAAGAGGAAATGCTGTATTTATTAAAAATACACTCACTCAATAACAACATGGGCATCTGGAATATTGTACATAGTGTTTTTTCTCATGAAGATGTAAGTACTATATATGTAATATTCCATGATGTATCTCTTCTAAATTTGTTTACATAATAAACACTTCACACTTATGGAGAAGTCTTATACATACCTACTTTGAAATTTTGAAAACAAAACTTATTATCGTCCTAGAGCAAAAGAACAAACCAAAAATATACACTCAAAACATTTTCATCATAGTCACAAGTATGACAAGATGATTTTCTTCAAGCTTTCCAAATTTATTATGCATAACAAGTTTCAATCCCTTATAAATTTTGACAAAGTTCTAAAGACTATAAAAACGGGTTTAAAATGAAATAACTCACTTAGCTTCAGACAACTGCTACTGAGTCTATTCTGTACCTCAGCATGAGTACCACAGAAATGGCCTTATTAATGAACGAACAGTTCTCTGAAAGACTGACGCTACTTCCGGGTTATATTGTTCCCAGTGGTTGTGAATCTTCACTTTTATAATTAGGATAGGAAGAATTATGTATTAATGAGAAACAAACCTAAAAGTATGTTCTCTTACATTAGCACATTTTACACAAGTTGTTTTCTTTACCTTCTGTGACGTTATTTTAAACCAGGGCTACTCAACGAGTGGCCAGTGCGCCACATGGGGCCTATGGCCTGTTTGTTTGCAGTGCGGTTTGGATTTATGCGGGGCTCAACATGCGGCCAGGAGCCAAAACAAAAAAGTAGTCAATATAATGGTGTTTGGTTGATATACGTTGTAGTAGTTAACTCCTGGATTGTCACTGCTCATAAAAGTGCTGTCATGTGGGTGGAAATTGGGTAAAAACTGCATTTTATTAATATTAGCAGAACTAATGATAATGGGGCCTGTGTGTTGTGTAGTCTTGCCTTAATCTTTGTATTCATGCCTATCAGTGTGACAGTCTACTTAAATATATATTTGCATGTCTATGCAACCACACTTAAGCTGCAGCCCTCAGCATGTGCTGTATCATCGTGGCTCCTGGGGCTTCCAAACTTGAGTAGCTCTGTTTTAAACCTTATTTAAAACAAAAACAAAACAAAACAAAAACACTTGTTTATCAAAGTATTGTTTTCATTTTATTTAGATGAGAGGTTGTGTTTTCTTTAAGTTTGCCGCTACAGAAAAACACCACAATTCATGCTCAAAATCAGATCTCCATTATATAAATTGATAACCAAGAATTCTCTATGGGTATGGTCTCCACAGCACCGTGACACACACACAATCATTGCAGAACACTGCAATTTACCAAAAGAAATTTTCTGCAAAGCCAAATGTCAACAGCATAATAAAATTATAAGTAAACTAGTTCCACTCTCTCTTCAAATATACCTCAGTTTACCACATACCTCCCCTTCTGCAAAGTTTCTAGTTCTATAAAACAGATCTCTCAAGGTCCCTTCCAATTCTCTGTAGTCATTTCCTTCCCTCAGACATTGAGGTTGGTGTAAGATGGAAGGAGCTGTCGTAAGATGGAAGGAGCTGTCACTGAGAAGGACAAAGAAGGGAGCCAAAGCCTATAACAAAGCAGCAAAGTACGGTTCTGAGAACGGATGAAGAGATTGTTAATGTTTTGCTGAATCAGTTTTCTTTATGCTTACTATTTGTGGTATTGTATCAACTTACATTTTCAGTAAGAAGAAATAGCATGTACTGATATTCTTCAAAAGAAACAAGTATTAGGAAATTTCAAGAGCAATGCATTAATGAGCTTCCTAACAAGAAAACTAATGCATGATTGTGAAGTGCACAAATATTTAGTATTGTAGAGATATTAAGTTTACATAGCACAAAACTTACACCAGAATTTGGTTTAAAGGCTTCTTCTAGACTCCTTTTTGAAAAACATCCTCACAATAAAGTTGTTTAATTGCTGTTTGGGTTTTTTTTTTTTTTTTTTTTTTTTTTTTTGCCTTTAGTGAGTTTTTTGTTTGTTAAAAGAGAGCATTGCTTGGATTTTAGAACAAAAAAGTAAAAATACAACTCCAAGTTTTAGCTAAAACTATGAACAAAATGCTTATTAGGTTCAGAAGCAACTAATCTGCATTTCTGATAATCTATATTCACGCAAAAAAAATGTTACTATAATCAGGAAAATACTTTCTTTAGTAAACCATATCATTAGACATCTTTTTACCTATCCAAAATTTCAATCTCCAAAACAGACTCAATGGGTTTTGTTGATGCAATTTGAATTATATTAAGTGGCTACTCAGTTCCTAATGTCAGAAGCTAAAAGCGTAAGAGAGGTCTGAATATAGCAGAAGCAACTGTGTGTTACTGGCAAACTTGCTGGTAACAGGCAGGTTGTTTCAAAGAATAAGTTTCTGGGAAAGCTTTACTTTTGTCTAGGCCACAATAGAAACAATATTGAGAAAAGAAGGCTTGTGGATCTCCATCCTTCTATGGACAAGCTCTTCATTTTTCCATGCATGTCTCTGTGTGCTAAAAATAAAGTGAATAAATGATGCCCTGGTTTTCCCCAAGCCACTTGATGGAAACTCACAAGATTAATATCCTTAAAAAGGCAAGGGAATTTCAGAGTGAACCAATACCTCTTTCAGTACTGAGGATATGGGAGGAATAGTTCAGACAAATTAATCCAATGGTATAACAAAATTTATGTTATTTAATACTGCATAGTATTCTCCTAAACTATTTGAAGTAACTGAACTTAAATGTTGTTGGTATACATTCATGTTGCAGCCTAAGTGGCTATTTCAAATCCAATAAACTTCTTTTATGAGGGAGTCCCAATGCACACAAAATGAGCATGTATTACATTAAGCACTTGGTAGGTTAATTTATAAAATTAGAGAGAGAGTTTTCTTCATGGTACACTAAAAGATACTTTTACTCCCAAATATAACTAAATAAAATATTTTTTTAAATCATCAATGTAAATCAATTTTTATTTTAATTTCACCTTGAAGCAGCAATTTAGGGACCAATGTACAAATTCTTGTAGCCTCAAAACAAAAAATAAAGGGGGTATCTACATGCATTAAATATAATATTTGACAGTACACACATTTGTTAATACAAACTACAGAAATTTGGGCTTTTCGGTGTTTTTTATTGGGGATAGGAAGAAGGCTGGGGGCATTAAAAAGAGAAACACATTTAATGTGTAGATTTAGTCAAACACTTTAAGAGAAGTCAAACTGACTGTAAAGCTCTTGGTAGAAATCCCCCAAATCTTTTTCAGACCAACTGAATGTTATGAGAACACTTCGGAGTTCAAGCTGTTTTGCATTTTATTGAGACCTTTTTATTACACATTTAACCTCTCTGGAGCTTAAACAGTGAGTTTAATTAGTAAAAACCTCGTATAATGATCATTTAATTATTTTATCTATATAGTTCTTCCCTTTTCAGAATAGTCAGGACACTGTACAAGATGAAGAAAACAATAACAACATGCCATCCTCGTAAAATTTATTGAACCAATAAAACCAAAAATATCCTGAATTCGCATTGGCTGGTAGATTCGTAGCTCAAGTTTCATGACATCGGATAAAAAAAACCAACATTTAAAATAATGTCTAACCAAAGTGAGTGAGTGAGTGAGTGAGCATACATATGTGAAAGTCAATGACCATATGAGAAATCTGAACTGAAAGAGTAGACCCAAGGTTAATTCCCACATTAATATAATATTTAATTAAGTAATTAATAAAAATTATGAGACACCCCTAAGCACCAAATTACTTCCCTGACAGCAATCTCAGACCTGCTACAGAAGCAGAATTTACAGTTGTACAAAGTAACTTCAAAGAAAGGAAGAAATAAGATATTAAGAAAAGGTTAGTATGTTGTCAAGGGAATGTCCTTATGTTTAAAGTAAATTCTGGGATATCTTTCAAATTTAAACTTTGGGATGTTAAAAGCTGCATGAGCACTTGAGCTTTGTTTAGCCACTGTGATAATTCGAATTTTCATTATTTTAAGTAAAATTGGTATATTTACATTTCAACTCAACTAAGATGTTTTCTTTTTAAAAGTAAAATAAACACTGAAGACTACTCAATGAAATTTCAGGGAAATCACATTGTTAAATTTCCAGTAAAAAGAGTGTGCTAAATAAAATCATGCAAAAATGTTTAGAAAAGCTTAGAAACTCTTCTAACTTGTTGAAAAACTGAGAATTAGCAAACATACACAATATTTCAATTAAAACACAGTTTAAGATTGTTTCAAACTGTTCTTTCAAAGATTGTACTTTTACGAAGTCTCTTGTATCTTTTTTAAAATTTCATATTTTTTCATAACGTATTTGTGTATGGCTAATATATTTTAGCAAAATGGAAAAAAATATAGCTATATTGCAATTTGCAATACAAAGGCAAGAGAATACAAGTTAATTTCAGTACGTAGTCATGAACATATTACAGGCTTTACTGGTATAATGAATTTCTTCTCAATTAGTACAATATTTCCTTTTACATTACAAATATTATGACATGCATCCATCAAAAATATATGTTGTACAGAATAACATTGAACTCTAAATCAAAAAGGATGCAAAGAAAGGAAGCAGAAAATATTCTAAGTGTAGGTTCCAATGAAGTTCAAGCTACAGTCATCTGTATAATCAGGTATTCAATGGCATGGATGGGCCACCTAAAATTAAGTTTGCTACAATTACAAAATTAATTTTGTATTTCCAACATTTCTATATTTAGCCCTTCTGATAATATAATTCTATTTGCTGAACAGACTACGTGCTATAGTTGACGGGCTTAGAAGCCCAGTAAATAATCAATCTTCAACTGGCAGTCAGTGATTTATACAAATCCTTTGGGCACTTTATATATAAATGCTGAATCGAAGTATTCAACATTTTACACATTATTTTATTAACTTTACAAGCAAAAATACTTTTGTTGGTACATTTTCTTTTTAAAAAAACCATTTTCTTCCAACATGTAGAAATCAAGTTTAGAAGACAAGAGACATGACTGCGTGAGTATGCAGAGTTGATTTCCAAATCCTTCCATTTTCAAAGTAACTCCACAATATAGAAGAGTTCTCCCCCAACAGTAGCACATATTAATTATATTTTTTTAAAGTTATTCTGGAAGGAAGAGTGGTGGTGCTGTAAGCTACATGAATTGATTCTTTTCTGAAAAGTATGTATTAAAATTAATACACCAGATTTTTCTTTCAGTCAGCACAATTTGTGCTACTGCAAATTTAATTAGCAAGACTAAGGCACCTAAAATGCAATATGCCAAGACTCAACATTTCTCTTCACACACACAAGACATTCAGTTGTATAGCCAAATGTCAGTGTCACATAACAAAGCACCTTTAATTGACCCCAGGAAAAGGGAAACCAAAATCTTGCCTTCTCCAGTTCAGCTTCCATCTTTACTCATTCACTGTACATCAAAGAGAATCAACTAACCTGACACACAGGGACTGTTCCCCTCAATGATCAGGCAGGTGTCAAGGCCAGGCAAAAAGCCTGTTTTCCACAGCCCTTCACCTTGTTTGATCACTGCTTACTTTTGATCTGACACTGCCCTCACTCTAGTAATGACTTCCCCTTCATAGAACTTACCTCACATCTGTCAGATAGAATAAAGGGTATCAAACTGAGACCTGACAAGGCCTATGGGCCATGAGATGTGCTGCCAACAGAACATTCCCTAGCTCCCACAATTTCCAATTCAGTTTCTTTTGTTCTGGTGGGTACTGAGGTTAGGGTACCAATGACAGCAAAAAGGATTATACACCAACTGTGAAGCCAAGCCTTCATGAATTTTATATCTTTTCATCTCAGCTTCGTCGTCTCCTTAAATGCTGTGAATTTCATGGTGGTTACTATGAAATACACATTCAACTAACGTAATAGAAAGTTTGTTTAAATCCTCCTTCCCCAGAAAACAAAAGTTACTGAATATCCTGTAGATAAACTAAGGATTTTTTTTTTTTAAGATTTCCAACTGATATTGTATGAGGTCACTACAGACCAGCTGGCAAGCAACAATGAAAGGGCGGAGAGGAAAGGGGGCTGTGGAGGTTTTTGTTTTATTTTGTTTGTTTTATATACAAAAAACAGTAATAAAACAATTAAGATTTTAGCATAGAAACTACATAGAAAATTCCTACAAGAGAACTATGCTTAGCTCAGACTATGGCAGCTCCATAAAGGGACAGATACATGGGAGAATTACAAATTTTGATTTTTTTATTCAGAGTTTACTAAGGGTGTTTTAAGCAATAATTTCATGTTGCAGGACATTTTATAGCACATAAGTCTATTACAGATTATGTAACAACAGTTTTAAAATCCTTAAAACATAGTATTTGGATACTATCAAAGCAAGGAAGAAAAATATTCAAAATCAGACTTTTAATGTAATTATAGACTATATTGTACTCTACATTATCAATATTCAGGTATTACATTTTAAAACTGTGGCACTCCTCAGTTTGGAAGAACAGATTAAAAACTCTCACCTCAGAGTAATAAGCATAGCCCAGTAAATGTCTTATAATTTCCTTTTGT